TCGAAAAACGTGCATTAATTATGAATCAACCTAATATATATATAAAGTGCGGTTCACAATTATACCAACACCCAAAATTTTGTAAGTTCTCGGACTTTTTGGGAGAAACTCAAAAAGCCGTTGGTACCACGCGAAAGAGCACAATTGAAAACGGTATACGATCCATAAGAATGGAAATTGATGTCAATCTCAGGAGTGTTTTTGCGCCTTATGCGAATTTTTAGCGGTTCATAATTATACGAACACCTCAAACAAAGGTGCATTTTTCATTCAAGATTGCGATCATTTGAGTCCAAATTTTTTGTGGAGTTGCAGTAACAAAGTCTGACATATCTGCTACGCACTGAACCCAGTGCAGGTCAAAAAAAGGATCGCTACTTCTTTCAGATGGCTCTAAATGCTTTTGGAGTGACTGCGCTCAAAATACATCCGTTTTTCTGTGGTTTACGCGCTCTAATTAGCTTCTGCCAAAGCTATGAGATAAAATAAGCTCTTTCGATAGGTATTTTGTTTGACGTTTGGAAAATCTTTGCGTTTTCGTGCCGTTTTGCAACCAAGTTCCATCTCAACCTTAGAGTTAGCACGACTTCGAGCCTCAAAACTCAGCTTTTGTCTTGCACAAACATTTGATATGAAGCAGCTGCATTGCTTGCATGATGATGTCTCTGTGCCAAAGTTTTTGGGTTTTTTGTAGAACTGATCTTGAGGCTATGGAGCTACAAACCAAACAGGGGTGTGATTGCAATAGTAAAAACAGTTTTTTGGTGAAATGACGTCTGCGTGGCCAAAACAAACGCTCAACGCTGCTGATTTTTTCTAGCCAAATATACAGTCTTGTGAACTTTTACATACTACTAGGCTGTTGCATAAGTTCTGTCCGATTTGAATTTTTGAGTTTAAAATGTCATAACTTCTTTCAGAGTCAACTTTTTTCCAAGGTCTTAGTTTCTATGTGTTGAGCAGTCCCTTGGCTAAAAAATGCATATTGAGATCTGCGCAAATCTTTGTTAAGGAAGAACCAAGAATGCAAAAACTTCGCAGCGTTTTTCTTCGAATCTGTCTTTTTTGACATGGTAACGCTCCCTTATGAAAATTGATAGGCATCTTTTCTAATAATGGATGGATAGAGAAATTTTCGTAGATTATTATGCAACATAAAAGAGCCCATAGGGTTTGCGCTGCCGAGAGATTTTTTTGACCGAACAAAAAATTAGCCACTTTTTGACCTCGCTTCAGCACATGTGTGCATGCCTATTTATGAACTACGAACGTTTTACAACTGACGTGAGCGCCGAAAAGGAGTTGGTGGATGGGCCCTGTTAGCTCTTGCTTTGCCCTAGCACCTCCAACTTTGAGCTTGTCGATTACTTCTATTCGCAGAAAGTTATTGCTTGTAAAACATCTATACCAAAGATTTATGTTCGAGGATAAACTTCACTAGCAAGACGTATTCTTCATGGGACCGAACTTCTGCATATACTAGCATTCCATACCCTTATTCCGAAGCCAATGAAAGAACCTGACTTGAAGGGCGCATTGTGGAGATATCCTCGCAAGGACATATTTCTAGGGATAGAACGACCTCGGCCACTTAGAGATTTTAGGCCTGTGATCTCCGTACACTAAGAATTTTATTGAATTCTGGTATGCTTTAGAAAGCGCAAGGAAAGCACTTTTCAATGATACCAACCGTATCGAATTAGAGATGAAATTCTCTTAGAACAGCTGCTTCAAACATGAGGCAAAAAAATCGGACAGAACTTATGCAACAGCCTAGTATATGCTTTCTTCATTGAACGACTTCAGAAGCTTAGTTTTGAGGCTCGAAATCGTGCTAACTCTAGAGTTGGGATGGAGCTTGATTGAAAAACGGAACGAAAACGCAAAGATTTTCCAAGCGTCAAACGAAATACCTATCGCAAAAGCTTATCTCATTTCATAGCTTTGGTAGAAGCTAATTAGAACGCTAAACCACAGAAGAACGGATGTTTTTGGAGCGCAATCACTCTAGAAGCATTTAGAGCCTTTTGAAAGAAGTAACGGTCCTCTTTTAGAACTGCACTGGGTTCAGTGCGTAGCAGATATGTCAGACTTTGTTACTGTAACTCTATAAAAAATTTGGACTCAAATGATTGCAATCTTGAATAAAAAATTGACCTTTGTTTGAGGTGTTCTACAATTATGAACCGCTAAAAATTCGCAGTGGGCGCAAAAACACTCCCAAGATTGACATCAATTTCCATTCTTATGGATCGTATACCGTTTTCAATTGTGCTCTTTCGCGTGGTACCAACGGCTTTTTGAGTTTCTCCCAAAAAGTCTGAGAACTTACAAAATTTTGTGTGTCCGTATAATTATGAACCGCACTTTATATAGATTATCTATTACTCCTTTCGATTTTATCGATCTTTTTGCAAATGGGCTACGGGGTTGGGAATCGGGCGCAGTAGGGTAGGCGAGAACTGATTCCAACATAGCGGGAATAGGGAATTGTCATGTAGAAGTGGGCACATGGAAAGGCTGTACAAGGATAGCTATGCAACTTAATATAGTGTTTTGACAGGGCCGGGTAAGGCAGCTAGTTACGCATAATTTGGGAGTAAGTAAGAGACTTTGAGGTAAGTATGAGGATTTCCGTTGAGTGCAAAATAACTGATGCAACAACCTAAACGATCAAAACAACCCTCAAAAAATACCAAAATATCTTTGCGAAATACCTCTCATATTCAAAGGGTTCCGAAAAGCCCAAAAATTTTTGAAGAGCGTGGCTGACGCTTTTTACTAGAATCCTCCCAGAGGAAAATTTTTTGAACCACCACTGATGGAGCAGTAGTTAATGACAACTAGTCATGGATGCATAAATGAGGTTTTACAAACCATGAAAAGAACACAAACAGATTTAACACAATTTCATCGGTATTGCTGCACTAACCGAATGGGTGAACTCACTCTTGAGATTAAGCATCTCTCTTGTAAAGAAATGAGTTCCGTTGTGAAGTTTCGCTGTCGACCTTCTAATTCTGAACTTCGCGTGAAGTCACCGACGATGATCTTGTAGAAAGTGTAATCTTCTCTGTAGAAATTCTTCAAGCCTAAAACGACTCGAGCTCGTCTTCGTCGTAGCTGGATGTTGAGGCGTACGCAATGAAGATGATCAAGGTAGGGATTGATCTACATCTTGATATTCGCAAACGTCTGATTCGGGTCGTAAGTTGTTTGAAAGAATCGCTGTTCATGGCCAAACTCGTGTTGATAAGGACCCCCACCCGAAGAAAAAACGCAGACGGCTGACGCTTCGTCAGAGAGGCAGGTATTACACAACAGAAAACTTTCAATATTTTATTTTTTATTTTTTATTTTATAAATACACTCGAGGTGCACCAGAGCAAAGAAATAAAAGAAGATCCAAACTAACAATGAGACCAGCCAGTTCTCAGCCGCAAGAGAAGATAAAAGAAAATACGGAATGAAACAGAACTCGAAGCTCTAGACCCAGCTTGTAAAATTGAACGAAAGTAACTTGATCAAAAACAATCACATGAATCTTGCACACTCTAAAATCAAAGATGCCCCATTTTTGGGTGTCAACGAGCCCGCCGGTAAGGCTAGCTGACCTGACCCCATTGAAGATTAAATTTTAGAGGAAGCAAGATTCAGATTAAAAGTGGCAGAGTAAACATCTAGCAACTACTCAAGAAGGCACTTCATTAGGCGGACACAATTTGGAGTGCCCTAGATGGGAAACTAGGCTTCGTTAAGGCAATAAGGTGTCATAAAACTTCTGACGAATGAGCCGGGCTGGTTCAGTTGTTAGTCAATGATGCTTATGGTTAGTAACAACCAATAAATAGAACCAGGCTACAAAATCAAGCTGCAACTGAAGAATACCAGGAACCGGCTCCGAAAATTGACCGTGCGGACCGAAAACCGACATGCTAGTAATACCAACAGCCATAAAGCCAAGAAGATAAAGAACTGGTAACTGAAAAACGACGAAATCAAAATCATTCCAAAAAGCTTAGGGATACAAGCTGTGTGTCAGCTCTCATCAACTTAGCCCTGAAGGAGCGTGCAGTCTGAGAACACATAACATCCATAGGCAACCGCTGAAACCATCTGGCAGACCTGCAGTATATGTTACTGTGCATTTTTGCAAGATTGTGCTTTTTGACTTTGGCGTAGTGCAAATTAAATCCTCCCGACCTTTCACTAGCTGGCATGAATATCCAATATTTACTCGCCTTCAACCGACTTTCACCCTTTAAAACTTGAAAACAAAACGCTAAATCTGAGAGATTGCGACGAAAAGAAAGACTATGTAATTTGAACATTCTAAGCCGTACATTATAATCTGGCATACTGTTATCAGAATAGAGTCGCCTGTACAAGAGACGCGTGGATGTTTTTTGCACTTTTTCTATTTTACAAATATCTTTTTTCCGGGCAGGATTCCAAACTTGGGAGCAATATTCTAGATGGGGGCGAATGAGGGCTTTGTAGAAACGCGTCACTAGTGCAGGCGAGTTACTCCTTACGGTGCGCAGCAGCACGAATAAGGAGGTGTAAGCCTTTCTGACAGCAGCATCGATATGTTCCGAAACTTTAGTTTAGCATTAACAAGCACTCCCAGGTCCCTAGCTGAGCCGCATGACCTCAACGCAAGATCCTCAACCACATAAGTACCTGCACAACCATTTCCTATATGCAGTACGCAACTCTTGTCAAGATTGAGTGTTAAATTCCAAGTCGTTGCCCATTCAACCAAATTGGAAAGAGACAATTGTAAAGCTGATTGAATCTCAATTCGATCTTCTGCATCGTAGATTCCGTATATCTTTATATCATCTGCATACATTTGCACTTTAACCTTTTGAGAAGTATGGAGTAAGTTAGGCAACTCCATAGTATGAATGAGAAATAATATAGGCGATAAAACTCCTCCTTGAGGAACATCACTTGCACAAGAATAGGTATCCGAAAATCGGTCATGAACTCTTACAGTCATATAGCGGTTGTGCAGATACGAATCAAACCATGCGAGCAGCGGGTTATCAACGCCTATCATTTTGAGTTTCTTCACTAGCATATCATGACAGACCCTATCAAATGCTTTAGATAAATCAATATAAAGGACATCCACCATTTTATGACAACTGTTTCAGTCACATATAGTTTCCTTCTTTAATACGACTTGGGAAGTTGTCATAAACGCTGCGACTTCCAGGACAAAGAGACTCATCTCCGACCAGTCCCTCCTGTCCCTTGATAGATAGTCTCTGAAAGAAACTGTATTATACAACAGAGACCTTTTTCAATATGGCAACTGTTTCAGATACATCTAGTTTCCTTATCAATACAACTTGGGAAGTTGTCATGAATTTCCGACCAATCCCTCTAACGCCTTAATAGAAGTCCTTGAAAAAAAACTGTGTATTTTACAACAGAGACCTTTTTCAATATTTCTCATCTAACATTCTCGGCAACTGACTGATATTTGACTACGCATCCCATCGACCTGCTAAGTTTTCCGAAAACAGAAATTTCATTCACCCACAGGATCAAGCAAGACCACCAACCATATGAATTCAATGACAGTCAACACCCTTATATCACCCCCCATCTATTCTTCCTACCATGACTCCTTTCTCAGGTACAGTACTTCCTATGAATGCTTCCACGTCCAACACCGTGATAACGTCATTCACCTTACATGAGACATGGGACACATGTAAGGTGAATGAACATGAAAAAGTGAACATGTCTGTGAGATGGACACATACCTTACACATGTTACGGGAAACATCCAGCCCTTCCGTGTTGTTGACTGTGCATTGTGTTGCTTGGAATATCAACACAACTTGTTTGAGAGGCCAATGTGCGTCCTCGATTATCCTCCTACATATTAGGTTAAACCGAAGCATTTCGTGCAAACTAACAAGTTCACTAGCAAATTCTCACATTTGCACACAGAGTGGAACGAAAGATATACAGGGAAGCGAAGCTGCCGTGTAACAGCCGAACCTGTCGCGTAGCGGCAGAGAGCGGCTGGTTTAGGTATTTGGTTTTAGTAGAAGGCAAGTGTACTCGTATACTGGAAATTTGGATGAGATTGCGCGAAGCGGAACGAAAAATCACGATTTGAAAGTATTGAAATTACTCCATCGATCAAATTCAGATAGATACTTGTATAAAAGGCTCATGAGAAGAATATAACCTTAAACTCAGTACCTGCTGCACTCCTATAGCTTTCGAATTTATGAACGGCCTTAGGTTGCCGGCAACGGTTGCCGATGTTGCCGGTCATTGTAGGACCTCATGATAGCCTCCATGTTTCGCGCGGTCTCAGCTGTCTTTGACCCCGGCAACCCCGACAACCTCGACAACCTTTGCCGGCAACCTATGGCCGTTCCCTTAAAGACAAGTGGCCACTGGCACGCGGGTAGTACTCGCAAAATTTTATTTTGCGCTTTTGAAAGAATAGTCTCTGGCAAACGAAACTACTGCGTGGTAGCGCAAAGCCACCTCTACATTGTTTGCATCAAAGTGTTGTACATCATCCACAGTATCTTTAGCTACGATACAAACTGTGACTATTGAAAATTTTGTTCTCTCGTTTGGCAAAAGCAATTGTTTGGTAAATCCAATTCTTAAGATATATATGGCAAGCATTTTTAGCTAAGTAAAGCGTGATTTGTAGAGGATGATCGCAGCATTATCGGCGCAAATTTGGAATCAAAATCATCGGCTGTTTCGTGATTTTCAACACTGCAAAGTGGGCTCCCAAACTTTTGCCCCACCCCTGTATTTTCTGCGTTACATCCTCACTTTATCATTCTCTCTTTCTTTCTAGCCCTTTTTCTCTCCTTTTTTCTCTCCCATAATCCTTCGTTAACGAGTTCCGGGGAAAGACTTTTCACTTAATTCTTTTTGTGCAAGGGTAGGAAAAAAAACGAAAATTATTATTTGTGTGCTTATCTTTTATTTTTTATTCTTCGTATTCATGCATTGTGTTTGTCTTCTGATCATTTTTTGATCGTTATATTTCTGTTTGAACCTTATCTAAGACTCACACTCAAAGCAACAGTATCCTTCATAGTGATGTTAGGAGCAAGTTGAGCTGCTTCTACTTTAGCGTTTGCATGAGAGTCTTTGAAGGCTCTACGTTCTAGCAATAAAAGCTAATCCGAGACGAAGGCAGTCTCTTATGTACTCTAGACGTAGATCTAGGTTACTAATAAAAAAAACGATAAATAAGCAAATAGTCGTTTAGCTTCATTTCTTTCATGAAACCGTTAAATTATAATCTGAATTGTCAGCTCCTCTGCAAGAACTTTATTTGACATTGGTTTGGTAAATGTTAATTTTACTACTCGCAGAATTATTTTTCAATAGATCCGCTTAATACTTTCAATGACAGCGTTTATTTCAAGTTTGCTTTATAGCTAAACTAGCTGGCTTACCCGGCTCCGCCGTATCCGGACCAAACTTGGCACACATACACTTCGGGCCCCGGCGGGTGTCACAGTCCACTTTTCGTTATCGATCGATGTCGATTTTACCGATTTTTATCGATTTTTTTGCAGAGTTCACCTACAGGGCTAGGAGTTGGCACAGGGGGGTAATCGAGCATGCTGATTACGAACACAATATTAGTTTTCAGGATCGTCCATTACTTTTATCGATTTTATCGATTTTTTGAAAATTGCTGATCACCCCCTTGGGGGTGATCAGCATTCTCGATTACCCCCCTGTGCCAACTCCCAGCCCCCTAGCTCAAACTTTGCAAAAAAATCGATAAAATCGATAAAAGTAATCGATAATCCTGAAAACCAATATTGTATTCGGAATCCCCATGCTCGATTACCCCCCTGTGCCAACTCCCAGCCCCGTAGGTAAACTCAGCAAAAAAATCGATAAAAATCGATAAAATCGATATTGATCGATGACGAAAAGTAGCCTATGACACCCGCCGGGGCCCGTAGTGTATGTGTGCCAAGTTTGGTCCGGATCGGTTCAGAAATGGAATTTTCTATTCGGAACATACGTACAGACAGACAGACAGACAGACAGACATACATACAAACAGACATTCAGCTTTATATATAAGATAGAATTTGAGTAGTTTGACAGAAACAATGAACAGCTGCAACAATCGACAAGCAAGAGTTCCTGAGATATCACTACAAACAACCTCAGGGAAGGTGAAGGTTTTCTCATTTGGCCATTTGGTGATGTAAATGGGAAGTAAAATACCAACGTCTTTTTCATGCTGGGAGAAGATGTATCTTGGCACAAATCGATCAAAATAATTGAATCCGGCAATGCTTCCAACGATGAAACAGAGCAAATTATAATGGAAAGTTCAGAATTGTATGAGGTAAGCTTGGGTTGTTCTGCAAATCAAACAGATACTTCGATCCAAGATGGGGTAAATCAGCACTTGCTACAGGCACAAATTATCTGGGCCGGTAGTAATCTACCCTACCTGGTGGCATCATAGATGCCGGCAAGTTGGCACACATTGCGGAAAGATGCCAACTCCGCCGGCAGCTCGCGGAGTGATTGTGGGTTTTGATAATCTTATGTAACCTTAGCACGCAATCATTTCGCACATTAAATTTTGATGACGCAGACAGCCGCAAAACTGCTACCTTGCGCGCGGCCGAACCTATGTGCGTTAACCTGAAGTGCCACCACGTTAACCATTCGACCACTCGGTCAGCCATTGCCGTTTGCACCAGCAATAGGAGGAACGCGCTGGTAAATGGCTGCCTGTAAGAGGGATCGATACATTGCGTGAGAGACTTTGACCTGAAAGAACAGGTGATTGATATGAGCGAGAGAGGGGCGAAATCGGTGCAAACGAGATTTAAAAGGGATTGCCAAAAAAGATGGTGTTCTTTATGATTCTAAGGCATTACTGGATTTTTTCTCTGTAAGAAAATCGTCGTTTTAAAAAAGAAAAGCTCATATAATGAGAAAAATGGTACTTTTTTGATGAAAATTAGAATTTTTGATTTTTTCGCCTGACGTAAATTGTGTGATATCGCCGCAATTCGAAAACTCGCAGACGCCGTCGGCAAAGGTGCCAGCACCTCGACATGGTAGGGGCACGTCGAGATGCCAGCAGCTTCCTCTCTCAAAAGAGCACGCTATTTCTCGTGCTCTCTGACCTGCTGGCAGCTGCCATCTCGCGGATTTCGACGAGCTGCTGGCAGGTTGCCGGCAATTGACCTCGCGAAGTTGCCGGCAGCTCCTCCTGCGCACCCAGATTTTTTTTCTACAGGAGGATTTCTGAAATCGCAAATTTCGATGGAGGTTTCTATAGGGTCGAGGTGGCATCTTCATAGAGAAAATTTTTTGCAAAAAGGCCTGGGACGGCCTAAATTTGGGGTTTTAGTTTCTGGCCACCTCACGGAAAGGTGCCAGCGATCTGCCGACGAAACCTGCCGCCAGGTCGGGGGGATTACTACCGGCCATGATCACAAACTCTAGAACAGGGAACATCCTACCTAGGAGGTAAATGCTGTTTTTTTTTCGGACGAGACGATACAATCACTTTCGATACGAAGCTCGAAAATTAGGAGGTGACGGTTACAGCCACCTGAGGTACGACGTCGCTCTCATAATCTAGCATTCGAAATGCTCCTGCGGCACGAAGAGCCTTCCGCGCCAGGAGTTTCTGCAGCGAGGGGAGACCCCCTTGGGAACGAGAGAAGGAAATTGTAGGAAATGTCCGCTACTCTTCACTGAGCTGAAGGAACAATTAAAGAATGAAAATTAGCGGCCCTATCTTTAAATCTCTTTCTCAAGTAAGGGTTGGTTTGCAGAGTTTCGGCGCCGACTGTTTGGAGTTGCACACGACGTAGCAGCGCTCCCACCCTCGGAGATCGGATTGAAAAGAAATCGGAATCGCTGGTGGAAGCGGTAGCGAGGAAGTATGGGAACAAGGAGAGGAAATTCTCTGACCGTTTTATTCTCGGGGAACAGCGACAAAAGGAAAACGTCACCATTGGAAATTTCCTTTGACGTTCAACTGTCAATACACACATTGGCTTTTTTTACCTTTCTCACGTTCCCCTTACGTTCACTTTTATCTCATTTATGATAAGGTTGTTCTGATTTCATATTTTATGGCAACGGTTACCTCATGAATATTTCAAATTTTAATTGAGCTGATTCAAACACTCCTGGGAGGTAGCATAAGGAAAGTCGTGTTAATGAGCTCAAATCTGTCTTGTTTTCTATGGTGAAATTAACCCTGATGATTTCAAAGGAGTAATAGTGAAAAAAGAGGTTACATTACTTGCAACTGTGAGAAAAGTCATCTGTGGCAAACAATGTTTCGAAATTTATCAAGGTTGAAAAAAGCATAAAACTTTTCTGGCGCAACATCTTGAA